CCTGGCCAACATGGTGAAACCCGGTCTCTACTAAAAACACACACAAAACTAGCCAGGTATGGTGACGAGCACCCGTAATCCCAGCTGCTCAGGAGGCTGAGGCACGAGAATTGCTTGAACCAAGAAGGCGGAGCTTGCAGTGAGCTGAGACCATACCACTGCACTGCAGCCTGGGCAACACAGTGAGACTGTGTCTCAAAAAAGAAAAAAAAAAAAAGCAACTTTGAGTTTCTTTTTTTTTAAAATATAAAATAGTGCAGTTACTGTGGAATGAATAGGATGTCCCCCCCTCACCACACACAAAACTTAAAAGGCTAAGGGTTTATGATATAATTATTTCATAATTTGAAATTATCATGATTAAACTGGTTATTTTATAAGTAGCTGATGTCTGTATAATTGGGTTTTGTTTGTCGGGCGCGGTCGCTCGCGCCTGTAATCCCAACACTTTGGGAGGCCAAGGCGGGCGGATCACGAGGTCAGGAGTTGGAAACCAGCCTGGCCAACATGGGGAAACCTCTTTTTTACTAAAAGTGCAAAAATTAGCCAGGTGTGGTGGTACATGCCTGTAATCCCAGCTACTCGGGAGGCTGAGGCAGGAGAATCATTTGAACCCTGGACGTGGAGGTTGCAGTGAGCCGAGATTGTGCCACTGCACTCTAATCTTTTTTTTTTTTTTTTTTTTGCTATTAATCATGCCACATGATTTTTAATTACGCATAAAGATCTATCATATCACCCAGGGACCATTTCTCCCACTGCTCTGTTTGGCTGCCAGTCTTTTGTCTCTCTCTTCAGCAATGGTGAGGCGATACCCTTTCCTCGGGGAAGAGAAATCCATGGTTTGTTGCCCTTGCCAATAACAAAAATATTGGAAAGTCGAGTGGCAAAGCTGTTGCCATTGGCGTCTTTCACATGAACCACATCGGAAGATCCAGGGTGCCTCTCTCTGTTGGTAATCACACCACCAATTCTTACCACGTTAGCACCCCCAGTCACCATACACAGGTTACCAGTGTCAAACTTGATGAAGTCAGTAATCTTGCCAGTCTCCAAATCAATCTGAACGGTATCATTCACCTTGATGAGGGGATCAGGGTAGCGGATGGTGCGAGCATCATGAGTCACCAGATGAGGGATTCCTTTTGTGCCCACAAAGATTTTTCGTACTTTGCGCAATTTGTACTTGGCCTCCTCAGGTGTAATACGATGTACAGCAAAGCGACACTTGGTGTCATAGATCAGATGGAAATTCTCTCCCGTCTTGTCAATGCTGATGACATCCATGAAACCAGCAGGGTAGGTTATATCAGTTCGGACCTTGCCATCGATCTTAATGAACCGCTGCATGCAAATCTTCTTTACTTCATCTCCTGTCAGGGCATACTTAAGTCTGTTCCTTAGGAAAATGATGAGGGGGAGACACTCTCTCAACTTGTGAGGACCGGTGGATGGACGAGGAGCAAACACATCGGTCAATTTATCCAGCATCCAATGCTTTGGAGCTGCCACCTGCTTCAGATGCTTCTTGGGACCACGAGCCATGGCTGCGTTAGGCAAGGAAAGAGGACCTCCGTCTTCCGGTGAGCGTAGAAATTGGGGCCGGAGACTGCACGCACTGGATACTCCACTGCACTCTAGTCTTAAAAAAATTTTTTTAAATTGGGTTTTCTAATCCATATAAAATTTAAAATTGTGTGGACCTAGTGTAATCATTATACATGACCGGGTCAAGTTTTAGCAAAATATTTCTATAATATGTCTTAACACATTCCCATCAATTGTTGATAATCTAGTTGTACTGTATGACATTATTGGTAAACTTTGCAGACTTTGAACTGATACAACAGTGGGATAAGAAATATTCCTGTCTAAATATTTTTGAGAAACTGGAGCTTATTAAAATGGATGTAGCTAAAAAAATCCTGATATATATTAGAAAATAAATCTAAGTTGAAGATCTAATACCTATCATATATGAATGCATTTATATATATAATATATATTACACATACATACATTACATAAGTATATGTTTTATGTTATACATATTTACACAAATATGTATAACATATATAAATATATATTTATATACACAAATATATAATGTATATAAACAATATTTATATATTTATTTTTATATATAAAATTTTATAACATATTGAAAATATATATTTATATATAACATATATAAATATATATAAAATATATATAACATAAAAAATATATAAAACATATCTACATGTATATTTATATGTAACACATATAGAAATATGTAAATATATAACATATATGACATATATAAATATATATTTATATATAAATATGCATTACATATATAAATAGACATAATATATAAATACATAACATATATATGAATATATAACATATATGTGAATATATAACATATATAAATTTTAAAAAAAATCTTAGAGTTTCTATTTTTTTCGTAGTCCCCATACCCATACCCTCTGTTTTTGAAAGGCCAAGGCCAATCAGTCCCCATTTGAGGCTCTTAGGCATGGTCCTCTCATTCCTCATTGAGATGATCAGTGTGTCATGGGAAGCCCAACCCCAGCTCTGCCAGCGGTCTCTGGGCCTGGCTCCCAGTCAGTGGCGACAACAGTGTGGTACAGGGCATCCCTCCTTTCCATCTGCGGGTGTTTTCAATAAATAGTGTACAGTTGTTTGGGGCCAGAAAAAAAAATACTAAAAGAAACATAATATATATAAAAAAATAAATATATATAACATATAATATATATAAATATATAAAACATAGAAATATAAATATATAAAAATATATAAAATATATCTATAATATATACATATATATTTATATATATAAAATATCATAATACCATATTGTTACTCTGCCTCTTCTATGTTTAGCTACAGGAATACTTTTCACTGTGTTACAATTGCTTACAGTATTGAGAACAGTAACATGCTGTGCAGGTTTGCAGCCTAGGAAGATGCCATACTTTGATTTGTGTTCACATATCGTTCTCATTTTGTGAGGCTGAAAGGTAATTGTCTAAACCAAACGTGAGTGGAGAGGGGGTCTCCGGAGAGGAAAGGGCCCTCCATTCCGCTTCCTAATATGAATAGACTTATGCCATACAGCCTGCGTGTACCATGCCATCTAGGTTTGTGTAAGTGCACTCTACGATGTTCTCACAACACAAAATCACCTAACGACACATTTCTCAGAATGTGTCTGTCATTAAGTGACCCATGACTATTTACACTGTTGACCTCAAGTACACACATCGATCAGACGAGTGGTGAAAGACTTCATTCTACTTTATTCTAATTTAAATGCAGGTGCTGTCTGTAGTTAGGGAAGTGAAGGAGCACTCAGCCTCCAGTGATATTCAACTCTAATTAGAAATCCTTCTCGGACTTAGTTCAAAGCTCCCTCTTAATATTCCAGGAACTTAATCCTCTACACAAAGTATGTGAAGACAAAAAAATGTAGAAAGTATGCGAAATTGCTATTATTTAAGTGTGGAATATTAATTTTGTTGTAAGAAAAGGGATTTATTCACTGAAATGAACTGTATTAATCTGACTCATCACCACAGAAATCACGTAGGCTCCTCTCTGAGTCAGAAAATTTCAAGACGTTTCCGTCTGCTTTTCCTCTTTAGGGACTGTTTAAATACAGCAAAAGGAGGGGCCAGCAGATTTCAATTCAAGTATGTTTGAAGCCTGTTTACTGACATTACTTATAAAACAAAAAATAAAAATAGTAAAATCTCCACTACAAATGATCTCTGTAAAGTGTAATAATATGATTTGTTTATTTTCTATATTTTATAAATTGCTACATTGAACAGTTTTAATTAAAAAAATTAAAGTCAGCCTTGAAAGTCTTTTTGATTGTTTGTTTTAATTTGCAGACATGACAGTACCTTTTAGCTGTTTCTATACTTGAGTAGCAATCAATTTGGGTGTCAGATTTTAGGGTCACAATGTTCTTTATACCTCATCCTACTCTCTCCTGGTATTTGTTACTCAGAGAAGAAATCTGAGTCCTGATTATTTCAATTCGTTTGAAGAAACCGAGTTATGATTATTACATTTGTTTGTTCAACAGTAGGAGTCCTTCTATTTAAGTTTAAAATTTTTCACGTAGCAACTTCCTATTCTAGGTCTCACTTTATGAGGGGGTTTTTTCCTTCCCGTGTTGAACTCTCAATCTCCGATTTTAGATTTCTTCTCAGACCTGGAAAGCATGTTTTTAAGATAAATGTTTAATCTTGCTTGTGATCCACCATTATTTAGGCTTTAAGAACATCTCTGATTTACAGCTTGGAGTTCTATGATTTGTCCTCCCTTAAATTTTTGAGCTCTTCTAAATGTCCTTATTCATTTCACATTTGGGAATATTTCTGAAGCAAATCCTTTCTGTTATAGATTTGATTTTCACACTGTCAAATCTGCCTTTTATTGCTTCTAGTACAAAATCTGCTAGATTTTTTCTTCTTTCTTCAGTGGCTTGAACCTGGTTTCCTTTTAAAATCTAAGTCTGTTCTCGTTGGGTGATGGCAGTGTCCTCTCAAACTGTTTCTGGGGTTCCTGCACCCCTGTGAGCTCCCAGGCCATGTCTGTGGCAATGCTGAGGATAAGTGCAGGGTGTGGCCCTCCTGGTGATGAAGAGGAGGTACACCCCAGGTCAGCAGAAGCCGAGAGAACTGGCGGGGCTGAGCAGGCAGGACGTAGAAAATGTCCTCACAAAAACCCTAAGATGAGGTATGATTTTCCCAGCCTGTCCCTCTGTAGGCCTGACTCGCTTCATTACACTAAACTGGATGTGAATGGAGAGGGGGCCTCGGGAGAGCAAAGGACCCTCTGTTCCCTTTCCTAATATTAATGCCTTACTTTGATTTACATTCAAGTGTCATTCTCACTTCGATTTTATGAGGTTGAAAGGTAATTGTCTTTATTACTAGAGAAAGGAGAACTGGAGTTCAAAGAAACTTAACTGAGAAGTGAGTCCTGGTCTCTGGATTCTTGTGTTGACGTCTGGAGTCAGAGCAACTGGTGATGAAAGAGTCCAGGCTCAGTGCCTCCCAGGAATGGCCTCACATCCTGTTGTGCAACTTTCCGGAGCCTCTAGGTCAGTGTGGTGCTTTGTAGCTGTCCCGGGAGCCCTCAGTAGCTGGAGTTGGTGCACGGGAAGGATGAGGAAGACCAGGCGCTGGGGGCTGCTGTGGATGCTGTTTGTCTCAGGTAAGACAAGGAAGAGGAGTAAGCCGGGGAGGCGCTTGTTTCAGGATCTTGGGGAGCCCTTTTCCGTTGAAGCTTTAGAGCACGGGGCCATCCAAGATAGAGCCAACCAGCAGTTATGCCAGACCTTGCTGCTCTCCCCAAACTTAGCAGAATCGGGAGAATGTGCAGTGTCTGCACACAGAAATAAAAGGAGGAGAGAGTCAGGGAAATAAGATGTCTGTGCAGGTCGATGTTGTCAGGGATGTGCAAAGCCTGGCCTGGGAATAATGATAGAGTAAATCTCATCATGGCATGATCTAAAATGAGTTTATTTCATGTTGAAATTTTTTTCTTATATTCTATCATGATGTGTTTTGATGTTGACAACCCGTTAAACCCAAAAGACAGAATTTATTTAACAAATATTTCCCAGGGGTCTACTATGGGCTAGCAAATGTACTACTGCTGAAGAAGATTCGCTTCAGAAGACACAGATGTGACCAGAAGAGGCTGGTTCTCTTTTTGGTGGAGGTGATCATCCCAGCTCTTCATGGCACACTGGGATTGGAGGTGACCGTTACTGAGGCTCGGCAGAGCTGGCCCATGCCCCAGCCCTTCCTTGTCTCTCCCCTTGTGATCTGCACAGCTCACATCTGTACCAAAACCAGAAGCATGGGGGGCTTTATTCACTCCTCCTCTTAATCCTTATGAATAAAGTGTCAATATGAGTTAAAGGCGAGGTTTGCCTTGGGAAGACATGAAAAATCAGGGAGAGATGTTCTCCTGGGCCCTCTACTTTGAACAAAGTCATGCACAAATGCCTTTTGGAGCCTGTGCTCAGAGGTTGCTCTGGGTCTTCTTGGAGCTGGGATGATAATCTAGGTGGGCAGAAGGGAGTTAGGTCCTCATGGACAAGTGCATTTCTTTGTGTTTGATTCGTGTTTTTCTGAAGGCGATGTGGGAGATGGCAGAGGGCTGAAGGTTATGCACTTGTGTAAGAGAAAACCAGTGGCATATATTTCATTGTGCCTTGTGGTAATAGGTTAGGGGTTAACCTGAATGTTCCTTGCAACTGGATGCCTATTCACGCTTGGGCCAGTACTGCTCTAATCCCTATCCGACTGGGTTGGGCCATGTAGCTCAGTGTTTTAGGTGAACGAGAGTCCTTGGGTTTGAATCCTAGCTCTAGCACTTAACTATGGTGAGACTTTGGGCAAATCACATAATCTCTCTGTGCCTCAGTTTCCTTAACCATAAAATAGGGAGAGTAATGGTGTCAACCTTTTAAATTATAAAGATTAAATAAGATGGTCTTTAAAAACATTTAGCACATAAGACTTAGGTAGTATTTGCTACCCTTTTAGTTAACATATTCTAAGGAATTCCCCTCTTGCAATGGTGCACAGATAACTCCGCAGCCTGCGCTTCTTACTGTCTCCTTCCCTCTGTGAAAGACAGGCAAGTTTGCAAACTCAGTCATCTGTAACTTATATCTTCCCTGGGGAGCTGGCAAATAAAGATTTATCTGTAACATTAACTTCAGAGGTTAGGGCTTCAGTGGTGGCAACTTGGGGATGGAGTCTGTGTGTCTTTCAAAGAACTCAACACAGTGCCTGTGATAGAGAAATCTCTCAGCCACTGTCTGGTGAGCGATTGAACAAATGAGGGAACCAGGCTTGGTTTCAGACAACACTCAGCCTCTGCTCAGCTGCCTCTTGGAGGGGCATTCCTGACTGGAATTTGTGGGAATTGCCTGGGAGGTCTGTTTACAAGGTTTCCTTAGAAACTGGAGTCTGTTCCCAGAAGAACTGGCTTTCAAGCCTGGTTTCACCTTTAAAATCCTCATGAGTTCCTGAATTGGGTCTTCCTAAGGTTAGGCAGATCTGTTGGCCTATCCTGGGGTGGGCATGCCAGGGGCTCCAAGAACGGGGCAGTGCTTGTCATTTTTCACCAGGCCTGAAAGGATCTAAGTGTATGGTATTAATAACAGCAGTGCTAGTGTTACCCTGACCCACATGGTAGACCCAGCAGCACTGTCCACTCTGTTACCCGGCACTCCATGGGGGAAGGGTCTCCAGGCCCGAGTGAGTAAACTACAGTCTCTCAGCAAACTTTGAGAGCCCCGTGTGTCCAGCTGAAAACACGGACCTGGGTCTTCTCACTTTCACTCTGCTTAGCCTCCCATCGGCAAGGCTCCCTTGGACGAGACCAGATGACCATTCCCAATTCTAGGTGGTTAACCCGGTTCGGCCTCCAAGAATGAGATGGAAACTATTGTCACTGTAACCCAGGAGTTCTTAAACCTGGCACTGTCGACATTTGGGGTGGGATGATTCTTTGTTGTGTCCTGTGCGCTGTGGATGCTTAGCCTGGTCTCCATTAGATGTTAGTAGCATCCACCCTTCTCCCTGGTTATAACTACCAAAAACGTCTAGATATTGTCCAGTGTTTCAGGGAGGGTTGTGGGGGTGGGGGAGCAAAAGTTGCTCCCCAGTGGAGAACCCCTGCTGTTGGCTCCGTGACATCAAAAATAGGAGGGGGCATTTCTTGGCTCAAGGAACTGGGAAGTACAAGGGGTGCTCCTTTGGATCACAGCTGAGTCTCTGACTCAGATAATGTGGGGTGCTTGCTCTCTTTCTCTCTCTCTCTCTCTCTCCGCCACCCCTGCACTCTCCCCCATCTCCCTTCCTCCCACTCTCTTTCTGCCTGTTTAGCCATTCTCAGGCAGCCTATTCCCACATGGCAGAAAGTTTCACATCTCACTGACCTGTCAATCCCAGCAAGAAGCATTTCTCTTAATGGCAACAGCAGTCTCAGGAAGGATTCTGATTGGTCCAGTTCAGCCATGTGCCCCTTCCTAAACCAATCAGCTTAGCAAGACATAGGGTACTTTTTTTTTTTTTTTGGCAGAGTTCTCGCCCTGTCGCCCAGGTTGGAATGCAGTATCATGATCTTGGCTCACTGCAGTCTCCTCCATTCAGGTTCAAGTGATTCTCCCACCTCAGCCTCCCATGTAGCTGGGACTACAGGCATGCACCACCATGCCTGGCTAATTTTTTGTATTTTTAGTAGTGACAAGATTTCACCATGTTGGCGAGGCTGGTCTCGAACTCCTGACCTCAGGTGATTCTACCGTCTCAGCTTTCCAAAGTGCTGGAATTACAGGTGTGAGCCACAGTGCCTGGCCCTGAGATAGAGTACTTTGATTGGCAAAGCCTGTGTCCTGTGTCCATCCTTAAGAACGTGGAAAGCCCCAATAGCAGAGCCACACAGGATGGTTCCCTTGGAAAGAGGTGCTCTGCTACCCAAGGAGGGAAGAAAGGAGTGCCAGGAAGTCAGATGGCTTGCCCTCAAGACGGCTTCCTCACTGTTTGTCCAATGGTCTTTTGAACTGATCTCTCTGTCCTGACTTAATGAAGTTCCTCCAGCTGTCCTTGGAGACACTCTCTGCTAGCACTGGGTCTTTGCATTCACTCTTTATGCTGCACACCCTTGTAATCTTTCCCTCCCACCATGCTGTAGCACTTGTGGGCTTAGCACAGTGTCCCATGTTCTTTCTCCAGTCAGGTGGTTTCTTCCTCTCAAAGTCCGCCTTCCTCTCCTGATCGTTTATGAAATTTGAGCCTCCTGGACCATATACAATCTCACTCTTATAGTAAAAAACCTACTCACAGTGAAAAGATCTGAGGTCTAGTGCTGGCTTGCAGGGAAAGTTGTATTTTCTATGGAGGCCTCAAGAACTTTGTCTGAAAGATGGGTAGTTGGACAAGAACAACAGGCGGTTCCTCTCCTTTTTACCCCCAGAGAGAGAAAAATAATTCCTCACAGAACCCAATTCTCTTTCCCTGCCTATAGAACTTCAAGCTGCAACTGAATTAACTGAGGAAAGGTTTGATCTGGAAGAGGGGCAGACCCTGACTGTGAACTGTCCCTATGGGATAGGGATGTATGACCACAGCCAGAAGGCTTGGCAGAGGATAAGAGAGGGAAAAGGGCCGCCCCAGACCCTGGTAACCACAGAGACGCCTTCGGAGAATTCCCATCCTATCCAAGTGGGGAGGATCATACTAGAAGATTACCATGATCATGGCTTACTGCGTGTCCAAATGACCAACCTCCAAGTGGAAGACTCTGGACTGTATCGGTGTGTGATCTGCCAGGATCCCAAGGAACCTCACGTGCTGTTCTATCCCGTCCGGTTGGTGGTGGCCAGGGGTGAGTGGCCTGGGATTGGTGGGGAAAGGAAGGCCAGGTGAGGAGAGGGAGAGTGGTGGCAGCATCAGCAGAGCTGGGATTCAGGATTCCTAGCAGCCAGATGAGAGATAAAGAGCTTCCTTCCTTCCTTCCGGGAGGAAGCTCCTTATCTCTCATCTGAGGCCCAGTAGTAAGTAGAACCTTCCATGCATGAGATTCTCCTTAGATAGCAGAGCCTAATTTGGGGTGCTGTGGTAGGAATTGGGGTACAACTAAGGTGAGTGGTAGATTTAAGATAATTTAGTCTCGTTGCTTGTTCTCCACTTAGAAGTCATGCCCTGACATCTGCTCCTGAGGATGCATTTGGTGGCATGACTGTGTGCTTCTGAAGCAGTCCCTCTCAGATCTTTCTGCGGGCACAGATCACCTGGGGATCTTATTTCAAATGCAGACTCCAACTGAATAGGTACAGGGTGGGACCCAAGAGTCTGCATCTCTAATGATCTCCCGGATGATGCCGATGCTGATGGTCCGTGGCTCCCATTTTGGGGGAGCAAGTCTCCAGCCCTCACTTTGTGTCCCCTTGTACACAACTCTTTTCTCACAGGATAGGAGAGCACGGTTTACTTATCTGTCCCCTATTCATTTCAGAACTGCTTGAGGGAAGCACCTGTGCCTTCCTGGGTTCTGCACCCCTTAGCAAATAACGTAGTTTGTGACACAAAGTAGGCCCTCACTAGATGTTGCATTAAGGAATGAATTATGAAAGACAGAGGAAAGGGAGGCAGGTTCAAGTTTCCAGGACCTGGGGAATTCTAAGCCTAAGAAAGACAAGATGCATACACAATATATTAATAAAAGATAACTTTTAAAGCGATTTGCTGTAAGCCAGGTGAATGAAAGGCAGAGTGAATCAAGTAAGCCTGGAACTATTCTTGGAGAAGGTGGGGGCACATGAATTGGTGAAGGGCAGACGTCAAATGCATTTCCAACAATACCAATGCCAAAAAATTCTTTCTTCTTCCCTCTTTCTGCTCTCCCTCCTGCCTTTTTTTTCTTTCCTTCTTTTGATCTCTGACTCAGGCTGATCCCATAGTATTTCTTTGGTTTTAGCAAAAAAAAAAAATCTTTGCGTTTTGGCCACGCTCGTATCCGTCCTCAGCATCATTTACCCTACCACCTACCAATCCATCTACTCATCCATCAACTCATCCACCTTTTCATCCGCCCATCCATCCATCCATCCACCCATTCACCCACTTCATCATCTATCTATCCATCCAGCCACTTTCCAACAATTCATCCATCAAACCACTCACTCATACATCCACTCATCCATCTGCTCATCCATTCACTTATCCATCCATCCATCCATCCATCCAATGTGTCTTCTTGCAGGTTCTTCAGGTACCCCTGCCTCCAGTGAGAGTTCTACCCAGAATGTGGATAGTGTTCCTCCTACCACCACTAAGCCCCTGGGCCCACTGTATACCAGCCCCAGAACTGTGACCCAAGCTCCACCCAAGTCAACTGCTACCGTCTCCACACCTGGCTCTGAAATCAACATTAAAAATATGACAGATATCATCAGGTATGGTTTCCAGGCCCCTAGGCCCTGGATTTGGACACTGAGCCCATTGTTCCCCAGTCCATGTGCTAAGAGGATGAGGGAGTGAGAGAAAGGGGAGGGTAGGGCAGGAGCAGACCTGAGTCACATTAGTCTGGGTAGAAATGTCCAGGGAAGAAGGAGGTGGTGATGGAGAATAGGAGAGGCTCTCTCTCAGCCAGGCTGTCCTTCTCCCCAGTTCACCTTACTTGCTTTCTTGCAACCTGATTATTAAGGAGAGGAAAATGGCATCTTCCCCAAATTCCAGTGGACCCCATCCAACCCCAGGGTCCGGTTGGGTAGTGGGAAAGCACTCTCTGAGTGAAGGACCCTGGATCTGGGGTCGGCCTGACTGACTGACTGTGACTTTGCGTGAGTCAGGAGCCCTCTCTGGCTTCAGCTTCCTTGTCAATTCAATAGGCATGCTAGAAGCCCAGAGCTGAAGACATTGTCCACCTAACAGCTCTCAGCAGCAGCCACACGTTAGTGCTAAATGCAGTATTGGTTTTTAAATAATAGTGTTACATGTGCCCAATTATAGACCAATAGAGTCAGAATTTTTGCAGATGAGGTCCATCTCAGTATTTTTTTTCTTCTTTTTTGAGATGGAGTCTCACTCTGTCACCCAGGCTGGAGTTCAGTGGCGCAATCTCGGCTCACTGCAACCTCTGCCTCCCAGGTTGGAGCAATTCTTCTACCTCAGCCTCTGCCTCTGAAGTAGCTGGGACTACAGGTGGTGCCACCACGCCCAGCTAAGTTTTTGTATTTTTAGTAGAGACGGGATTTCACCATGTTGGCCAGGATGGTCTCGATCTCTTGACCTCGTGATGCCCCTGCCTTGGCCTCCCAAAATGCTGGGATTACAGGCATGAGCTACTGCGCCTGCCCTCAGTATTTTTAATAAGATCTTCAGGAGATTTCTAATGTGTGGGCAAACTTAAGAACCACTAACTTCTCAATCGCATACCTCCTCACGGTTACTAAACACTGATTTATCTTAGAATGTGTTTATCATTAAATATTGAATTAACAAGGAAGGAAATATTCTTCCACATTGCCACTAGTCTAACATGTCTTTTTTTCTCATATTCTTTTCTAGTCTTTATTTATGTTTATGCATATTTTAATATGAGAGTAAGTCTAATTATAAATGTTTTTATTCTTTTTCCTGCTGAAATTATTATTTGATGCTGCTACCTAAATTTCATAAACATAATTTCAATGAGTGCATACTTTTCTATCAATTGGGAAAGCCATAACTTACATCATCTTTTGCCCATTCTTAGACATTGATATAGTGTTGAAAACTCTGAGATAAACATATTCTTGCAGATGTATTTTTCTTCCCTTAAGTAATTAACTCAAATGAAATTTCCATGAGAAAATTTAAGCACTGCTATCACTTTGTATCCAAATGGCATCTACTGATGGTCTTCCAAAAGATTGGAAACAATTTGCAGTGTGATCCATGGCGCATAAATAATGCAGTGTCGCTGCAGGCTTACAGACACGGATTTAGTAATTTCAATCATTAAATAGTGTGAGTTAAATCATATTCCTGCTAAAATGCATGTGAACTCGTGCCTGGCCTAATTTCTCTATGTGTGTAGACTCCACCTCCATATGTGTAGTGGGAGTGCCTTTTCCCCCATTACATTGTTTGGGGAACAAAGTGCTCATGAAATCTTTGTGGAGTAAATCAAATGAACAATACACTAAAAGTCGACACTTTTTTGTTTCCTTTCCACTTTCATTTTGCAATATGTAAGCTAAGAGTACATAACCTTTGCCCATATTCCTACTGTTAAGGGAAGGAGGGCCTTGAGTGTCCAGGTTTTGGGCCTTTTGAACAAAGAATTGTACAAGATGTATGAAGTAATAAAGGAATGAGGCAGTGAAAGCAGGGATTTATTTATTTATTTATTCATTTATTTATTTTTGGGGGGAGATGAAGTCTTGCTCTGTCACCCAGGCTGGAGTGCAGTGGTGTGATCTCTGCCCACCTCAACCTCTTGCCTCCTGGGTACAAGTGATTCTCCTGCCTCACCCTCCTCAGTAGCTGGGATTACAGGTGAGTGCCACCACATCCAGCTAATTTTTTGTATTTTTAGTAGAGTTGGGGTTTCACCATGTTAGTCAGGCTGGTCTCGAACTGACCTTGTGATCCGCCTGCCTTGGCTTCTCAAAGTGCTGGGATTACAGGCATGAGCCACCAAGCCCTGTTGAAAGCAGGGATTTATTTAAGGGAGAAAGCACTCCCCAGGGTAGGAGTGGGCTTAAGCAAGCGGCTCAAGGGCCCAGTTACAAAGTTTTCTGGGTTTTAAATACTCCATGTGAGGTTCCTCTAGGTTACCTCTTGTATAGATGAAGAATTTGATTAGTGGCTAACTAAACGCTGAGATGAATTGGCGCACTATGGGTATCAAGGGATGGTTGTCCCTTGCTTGGCCAATGGCCAATCCAAGGCACTCTCCCTTTCCAACTGAGACGTGGTAGAAGGGGGAGGAGTATAGGGAGAGTTGCCTTTGATCTTTTGCTACTGGGGCATGGGGAGATGGGGTTTTTCTATTTGGTTTAGCTTTAGAAAGTTTGTGTTGGCTGGGCGCGGTGGCTCACACCTGTAATCCCAGCACTTTGGGAGGCCGAAGAGGGTGGATCACCTAAGGTCAGGAGCTCAAGACCAGCCTGATCAACATGGTGAAACCTCGTCTCTACTAAAAATACAAAAATTAGCTGGGTGTGGTGGCGTGTGCCTGTAATCCCAGCTACTTGAGAGGCCGAGGCAGGAGAATTGCTTGAACCTGGGAGGCAAAAGTTGCAATGAGCCGAGATTGCACTATTGTACTCCAGCCTGGGCGACAGAGCAAAACTCTGTCTCAAAAAAAAGAAAAAAGAAAAAAAAAAAGGAAAGTTTGCATTAATTGGCCCTAGGTTCCCTGCTCTCGGCCCCAGGAGTTTTTTCCTCTTGATCCAGCTTTGGGAAGTGAGCCTGAATCCGTCTTAGATTCCTTGTCCCCAGACCCTGGTGTTGCTCCTTGATTCAGCATGAATTGGCCTTAAGTTCCCTGCCTCCAGACCCTATTTTCCTACCTTGCTACTAGAACCTGCATCTCTCTTTTATCTGTTTACTTCATAGATAATCTAACGTGAACTATCTTGCCAGCCAGAGTCCAGTCTGGAAAGTGGAAGCCACTCTAGCTGTTTGAAAAGAAGAAACTTTTTATTTTTCTTTTCTTTTTTCTCCCCCTTTTTTTTCTTTTTGAGACAGGGTCTCACTCTGTCAACCAGGCTGGAGTGGAGTGGTGGGATCCTGGCTCACTGTGACCTCAACCTCCTCCCCCATTTGCCTCCCAAGTAGCTGGGACCACAGGCACCACCCGGGCAGCTAATATTTTGTATTAGTTTTGGAGAGATTGGGGTCTCCCTGTGTTGCCCAGGCTGATCTTGAATTATTGGGATCAAGTGATCCTCCCACCTCAGCCTTCCAAAGTGTTGGGATTACAAGTGTGAGCCACCACATCCATCCAGGAAAGGAAGGAATTTAATGCAGATAATTGTGTGCCCAGGTGATGGAAGAGCTGAGACGCTAACCTGGGATGGGGAGGCACTGCAGAGGTAGCCACTATCACCCTATCTCTGGGTAGATTCCCAGAAGCAAGCCATAAAGTTTTGTTAAAATGTCTTAGTACTAGGTGTGGTGACTCACAGCCAGCAACTGGGGAGACTGAGGTGGGAGAATCACTTGAGCCTGGGAATTTGAGATTAGCCTGGGCAACATAGCAAGACCCTGCCTTTACAAAAAAAAATAAAAAATAAAAAATTAGCTTGGCATGGTGGCATGCACCCATGGTCCCAACTACTCGGGAGGCTGAGGCAGGAAGATCACTTGAGCCTGGAAGATCAAGGCTTCAGTGAGCTGTGATCGAGCCCCTGTAAAAAGAAAAATGTTTTAGGTAGTGATTTCTGGCAAAGCCATTGAGGAAGCGGGACCAGGAAGGGAAGGAAGCCAAGCAAGGGTGTCATAACCAAGGGGTGTCTCACAGGGTAACTCTGGCTGAGTCTTGCAAAGGAACTCTGGGGACTCCTGGGTCACATTTGGAGTTATCACTATAAGGGGCAGTAATTGAGCGAGGGCAGCTCTAACCAAGGCCAAGCACATGAATTTCCCGCCCTTCAGGGGGTTAGTAGCCTGTGTGCAGCCCCGAAAGAAATACAAGAGTTGGCCTGTTGGGAGTGGACATCCCCCAGGAGCTCAGTGTAGGACAGTGGTAGAGCACTCAGAGTGGATAACACAGAACACTGGCCAGAGAGACTTGGGGAGGAGGTGCAGTGAGCAGAGCTCAGATGCCAGCACATCCAGGATGCAGCACTGGAACTGGGCAGATGCTGAGGATGCTCAGTGCACCACAGCCATGTGAACAAGTGTCTCTCTTGCTGGCTCCCTGCCTCTCACCGCCTGTCTCTCTGACTCATCCCTGCCCCCTGTCCTCCACCAGTTGCTGAACTTGACCAGGCAGCCTTGGGAATGTAGTCCCCTGTGCTACAAGGCAGGGCCCTTGACTGGGGGTGGATTTCAGGCAAATAGGCAGTTTTCTGCTTTCTATCTCCTTTACGCCGTTTCCCTCTTGGCTAGTTTGTGCATGTGGTTTTAAGTTTTGTATAGGTGTGTGTGTGTTGATTTTAAATCAATTGCTTTGCTTTATTCCTTAATGTGCTTGATTCTATTTCTGGGTAACTTTTCTTAGATTTTTAAATTTTATTTAAATTTTTAGTCTAGGGGAAAGATTTATTCTGCTATATGCTGTAAACTGTAGAAAAGACTACTCTGGAATCATATTGCTGTCTAGATACTGCAAGACTATTTATTAAATGATCCTCCTGCCTCAGCCTCCAGGTAGCTGGGACCATGGGTGTATGCCACTGCGTTTGACTTACCCACTGGCCTCTGATTTCCTCAGACTTTAAGTTCTCACACGACACTGACTCTGCATCTGGACTTTTTGCTCCATTGCTGTCTGTCTGTCCCTGTGCCTTACCATGCCACGTCCCTGTGCTCGCATCTGCTTGCATGTCTGCTGATGGAACTGGCCAAGTGCCTTCCCTCCTTTGCATCTCTTTCTTATGAAACCTAATGATGTTTATCCAGAATGCTTAGGATCATTTCGCCAAAATCTATAAAATTCGTGATGAGATTTTCACGGGGGTTGGATTCTTCTCGGTTTATAAGTGGGGAAACTGAGGCTAAAGCAGTGAGGTGACTATCCCAAGAGGCAGGGCATGGTGCTGAGAATAGAGAGCAGGTTTCCTGGCCAGGGTCCCCTCTCCCTGCCACATCACAGGAAGGAGGATGGGCTGATCAGCCCGACCGTCTCTTTCCAGTACCTCTCCTGGACAGGGATCTACACTCCCCACTGAATTATTTCTAATCAGCAGCTTTTGGCAATGAGACAAAGCGAAAAGCACAGGGTCAGGCAGTGCGGGAAAGGTGCAGCAAGAACCTAAGCAGGTAAGACTGGGACATGAAGGCGTTTTCTAGAGGGAACGCGTCCGTGTGGGGGGAGCCTTTGTCAGCAGTAACGCTAAGTCTCCTCTCGCCCCCAGAGTTCCCGTGTTCAACATTGTCATTCTCATGGCTGGCGGATTCCTGAGTAAAAGCCTGGTCTTCTCTGTCCTGTTTGCTGTCACGCTGAAGTCATTTGGATTCTAGACCCACGAACCCACGAGACAGTCTTCTGATCTCCAGCCACATCCATCTGGCAGTGTGCTAAGAGAGGAGAGAGGAGAAAAAAGGTCGGGGGGAGTTAATACCATGAATTAAATCTGTAATCACTGGATATTTCTAAAGCCAGGATCTCACCTTCCTGCCTACTGCCCTCATTTCTCACTTGGATGGGCATTTGCCCCTCAGAAAAGAAGTTACAGCCCCAAACATGCCTGGTCCTTCATTCCACCAGCTACTTGGCATTTGCATGAAATACAGACAGTTCAATGCTTTTCATCGTAATTTCTTGTGGGGGCTGTGACATGCAGAGGGCACGCCTAATCCTTCTCCTGCTGAGTTTTTCCCTGGACCGTACAATTTTGGCCTGACCTGGACTGAGCTCCCACTACAGAAGCATCCTCCTTGCCCCATGCTGGGACTTCCTCTGTGTAGCATCAGACACTTGGTTTTCATGCTTATATGTGGTTCTTTCCAACACTCCCAGAAAAGGGTGTTGAAGATTGTGGAACATGGAGAAATAAGACCTCATTGTGAGAAAGTGCATCTTTCTCAGAGAAAATAGTTAAACTGAATATCTTGTCTTGGGAAAATACTGGCAGGATGAGATGGGATCCATGGGATAGCATTGATAGGCAATATCAGACATCCTATGTGCAATTATCTCTGACTCCTGAAAATAGCCCTCTGAAGGCAGAGATGTATGTGACTAGAATGAGGCCACATGAGTAAGTCCCTGCCTGCTGGCAGGAGTGAAAACTAAAGAGCTCCTTACCTGAAGGACCCCAAAGCCATATAGAATAGAATAACCAGGGGTTCTGCCTGTGTCTAAATGCCTCTTTTCCAGTATTACACAAGAGGGAGGGATGGCGGGGTGCAAGCTCTCCCCACGGAAGCTTCTGGAGGCTGCCCCATATGCTCTCCTTGTTCCCCACTCTTCCCTCCTCCTCCTGTCTTAGTCTGCTCCTGGAATACCTGCTTCAGCTTCCATGCTCTCTCCAGTGCCCTCCCCTGTGAAGTAGGTAGGTGTTCAGACCCTCCAGTGTCTTGCAATCTCCCACAGATTTCAATCAAGATTTTGCTATTTCCCACTTGAGCTTTAAAGGCAAAGGGGCCTCATGGGTGGGAAAAGGATGGTGGGTCCTTCCAGCCCAATTTAATGATGTCCGGGGCAGAAATCATCCTCCATTCCCAAGAGTAATCATGCTCTTCCATGCATAGTGTGTCTCATGTTAGGTAAACGTATTTTTACAATGAGCACCACTCCTGTGGAAAAAAATCACTGCACACGGAGGTCCAGCTTCCACTTCCTGAGCCCGCTCCATCACATAAGGACTTCCCCATTCCCCAAAATGTTGCTCTATCAGAACCTGCCCAGGTAATGGTTCTGACTCCAGAGAGATGATTTATGAACCCCCAATATTGAGTCCATTAGAAGATGGGGAGGGGGCATTTATTTCATCCTGGTGCTCTGGTGAGAATCTTCGCAGATGCACTAGGTACAGAAGCTGTTCATCTCAGCACATTTATTTTCCTACCTAAAAGAACCAAGCAGCTGAGAGGCAGTGACCGCACAGCATGCAGTGTTCGTGTGCTGAGTTTGCTGGTCTGGAGCCTGCACTTTAGCAATCCCAGCGTTGCTCCTGTTTATGAAGTTGACAAAGTGACCAGGGGAAGGGGGTATTATCACTAAATGCACTCCAGGAGAGGCAGAACACACAAGGGCAGTGTTTCTGAGTGTGGTCTTTAGACCAACTGCATCAGATTGTCCTGGAGCATAAGCAAATGCTTAGAGCCCGGGGCCCCTGCAGACCTACAATAAGGCATTACACTCCTTACCAAAGCCCATGACACATTCACACAGATTCATCCAGATATAACCCACTGCACAGTCCAATGTGTTTAACTTATTATAAATCAAGTGTTAGTTAAGTCTGACATACTAAACGTGCCTGTAAAATTATATGCACTAAATTGGAAGACAAATGGCTGTGCTGGAGACCCCCATTTCCACTTACAGGCCATGCCACGTTCCATCCTCCCCATCCTGCCTGGGAACCTGACCAGTGTGGCTAAGCCAGCAGGCTCCCTGGCTGCCAGCTTCTGGCTGGCTGAGCCAATGGGAAGCACAAGAGGAGTGCAGAGGGTGGGGAGAGAGTGAGGTCAGGGTTTCTGTCCTGGGGCTCCGTCCCTGGGAGGTGGCAGGAGTGGCTGCATTCCTCTCTGTAGTCTCCTTCAAGCCCCTCAACAAACAGCACCCATCTCCAAGTCCAGCCACCTGCTCTATCCTCTCCTCTGAAGGCCCAGCGGTGGGAATGCCAGCCTCAGTGTAGTGAAGCATCCCTTACTGGATTCCCTAAATTCTATGCACATCTTTATTAAATACTCTTCAGTTACCCAGTTTCAATGAGCCACCGGTGTCTTGCTGTTACCTCAACTGATACAATAGTGTTGTGCAGTTAATGACACAGACCTTGAAGGAAAATAGTGTCTGGGTTTGAATTCCAGCTCTGCATCCTTGCAGGATGTCTGTTCCTGGGTGACTCAGTTAAGCTTCTGGGCCTCAATATTCCTCCTTGCCTTAATGGGCATGATAGTGCCTAACCATGCCAATGATGATTCTGGAAACCAACAACAGAATCCAACTCTGGCTGTATAAAATAGCAAGGGAATTCTAGGGGGATAATAGTAACTCAGAGTTGATGAGAGGCTGCAGGATCGGGTTTAGACAACAGGCAGAAGCCAAGAGAGAATGGACAGCAGAGGCCACATGAGACGTTCTGGCCATGTTGCCATCGATGCCACTGCCTTGGACACTGGAGGCCACCATGCTATCCTGGACTCTGAATCCTTAAGTTGCCTCTGAGTAAGTCATCTTCAACTGGCCCTGCATTTGTGTCTCAGCCTCAGATCTGGGATCCTGGGCAGAATCATGCATGCGGCCAGGCTTAGGTCAAGTCACCTGCTTGCAGCATAGCTGCCGGGAGAGGGGTGGGAGGAATATCTGCCTCCATCTTCAATAGAAGGGGAAGCAGACCTTTGCATCTGAGTGAAACTCACACACTAGTGATGCCTGTCCCCCCAAAAGGAAAAGGTGTTTGGTGCTGGAGAGTCAAAAGATGACACACCTCCACTATACTCTCCCAATGTTGACAGGATCCAAGGAGATGCCTGAGTAAAGAAAGCACTTGGCACACAGTAGGACTTCAATCCATGATGCCATGATGGTTACTGCTCTTACTGTTTTTTTTTTTTTTTTGAGATCAAATCTCTCTCTGTGGTCCAGGCTGGAGTGCTGTGGCGTGATCTTGGCTCACTGCAACCTCCACCTCCTGGATTCAAGCTACTTGCCTGCTTCAGCCTCCCAAGTAGCTGGGATTACAGGTGTGTGCCATTATTCCTGGCTAATTTTTTTGTATTTTTAGTAGAGATAGGGTTTCACCACATTGGTCAGGCTGGTCTTGAATGCCTGACCTTGTGATCCACCTGCCTTGGCCTCCCACAGTGCTGGGATTACAGGTGTGAGCCATTGCACCCAACCAGGTATTACTGTTATAACTGTGGTCTCCATGCCTATGCCTGGACAGGATGCTCAGAGAAACTCATAGCTGGTCCTCAGGTAAAACCCCTGAGCCCCTTAGATGTGCTGCAGGGCCCATCTTATCTATATGCAGCTCTTGCAGACGTGGTCAACTTGAACTCCTTGCCACAGAACCACCTAAGCTGTTGTTAAAATGCAGATTCCTGGGCCGCTTCCCAGATCTGCCAAATCAGAATGTCTGGGGGTAGAGCCCAGGTGTGTACATGTGCCACATTTCTCGAGTGAAGCCATGTGCCTGTGCTTGGGAACCATGGTGCAGGCTGATATTAAAGAGGGCGGGCTCAGCAGAAAGGCTTGAGCCTGGCCTTGGTGGGTGAACAATATTTGTTTGCACAATACCATTTCACAGGGAGATTAAGGTTCAGGCTTGTGGGTTGTAGGAGTCAGTGGTCAGTCATGAGGAGGTTGGTGGCATGAGGGGGAGAGTGATGCAGTAGGGACCTTGGGTGGGTGGGTCTAGTCTCACCATGGTACAGAAAGGGAAGCAACTGAGTGTTCCCATCAGGACTGTGACATCATGATGGCAGGAAGGAAGCTGTCACAAGCGTGGCCAGCCCGTCTCTCTTCATCTTCTGCATCTTCCTGAGCTGTTCCCCGAGTCATGTTTACCTCCAAGATTTCTCAATGTTGATAAATAACTGCCCAGCCTCTTGGGGAGATGATGACTACATATGTGGGGCAACATCCTGCAGCAACTGGAAGAGGCCCTGGGCCAGCCAGCCGACAACATATTTGGGTGGCAGATAGAGTGGAGGGGGCAGGGCTCTGGGGGTGTCCTAACTGCTGCTCCTGCTGCTGCTGCTACAGGTAAGGAGAGCGGATAAACAGGCTGGGGGAGTGGGCACCAGGGAGAGGGATGTAGACAGCCCAGCGAAAGTGCCCACTAAGGGGAGCTTCCTCTCATGTCTTTGGGATGGACTGGAATGGGATCAGGTTATGTGGTACAGATGGAAAAGGGAAAGGAAGGGAATGGATGCAGACTGTGCTGGTCCACCCTGACCCAGCAGGGACTGGGCGATGAAACAGAAGATGGAGATCTCTCTATTGGATCTTGAAGTTGAGAGAATTAGGTGGATTCAATCAAGCAATCCCCCAGCACTGTGAGATGTAAAGAAAAGTGAGGCAAAGTATCCCCTTAAAAAAGCATTCACTCACGACGCAGAGGAGGCATTAGTAGAGCAAAACATAAATAACAGCAAAAAGAAAAGTAGAAACATGAAAACAAAACTTCTGTGGAAGTCACTCTAGCAAGGAACAGAAGGGAGCATGGAGAAGAGGATAAGAGCTCTGGAATAAGACGGGGCTGAGGCAAATCCCATCTCAGCCACACTATGTATGTGACCTTGAGTAAGGTTTCTAACCTCTGCTAGGCTCAGTTCCCTCATTTGTAAGTGGAACTGACTCACAGGTATTTATTTGTAGGTGGTACCAACTTCAGAGGGTTGTCCTAAGAATTAATGGATGGATGGAAAGCCCTTGGCTCAGTATCTAGGGCCTAATAGGTGCTTAATAACTATTATGATGGAGATGATGATGATGGAACCAGGTGTGGGGCGATCTGTGATATTGAGGATGAAGAGGAGAAAGGGATTAGTACCAGCTGCAACTGTTCAGATTGACTCCCCCCTGAGAGCAAATGGGATGGATATAGAGGGAGAAGAGTGAGAAGAGCGTCTGTCTTGGAGGACACTAGGAGCGAATACAAAGAGCTGTGTGAGGCCAAGTGCTACGGCTCACACCTATAATCCTAAACACTTTTGGAGGCTGAGGTGAGAGGATGGCTTGAGACCGGGAGTTCAAGATCAGTCCGGGCAACATAGTGAGATGGAGTTTAGATGGAGTCTGGCTCTGCCGCCCAGGCTGCAGCCTCCGCCTCCCTGTCTCTATAAAGAACAAAAAGTTAGCTGGGCATAGTGGCATGCACCTATAGTCCCAGCTACCTGAGGGTGCTGGGATGGGAAGATCACTTGAACCCAGGAGGTCAAGA